GTCTACTAGTACCACCACCTTTCGATCCTTGACCCAAGCTGGCAAGCGCATTGTCCGGGGACCTCGTATCCCGGCCATCGCGTGCATTGAGATTTCTGCTTCTTCGTCAGGCCCTTCAACTATGATATCGTGAGGTGGTTCCTCCTCGGTCTCGGACCCTTTCTCATCGGGATTAGCAACTTCGATCACAAAAGCTTGCTTGCACTGATGACCCGGCGTAAACTTCTCCTCGCACTTAAAACATAGGCCCCTCTCTCGTCGACGTTTAACCTCCTCGTGGGACAACCGCCTCACTATCGACCCTGCTGGTCGATTGTTAACGTTCGGCCGTGTGCCGGCCGTGGCTGGGTTCGATCCTGTGCGACGCGTGTTCGCGAATCGCACATCCGCCCGTCCCCTTCGCATGGCGACGAGGTGATCTTCTCGTCATCGTGCCACTTCCATCGCGTCATGCATGGTGTCGGGCCTCTCGAGCCGAACCTCAGCAGCCAAGTCAAATTTAAACCCGCCTATGAACGCACCGACTAATGCATCTTCCGGCCAGTCGCGCACGCGACAAGCTAATCGTTCGAACTCCCTGATGTATTCGCGTAGGCTGCCTGTTTGCCGTATGCGCGTAAGAGCCTCATTGTAATTATGATAATCGGATGTACCAAATCGCGTAAGCAACTCTCTTTCAAAAACATCCCAAGTAATAATTTGCTGTCGCTTGCGGTAGATCCTTGTGAGCCATTACCACCATACGTTGGCCTCACCATCAAGATAATAAGCTGCATATCTCACGCGATCGGGACCGTCGGTTTCATTAAGCTCAAAATATTGTACTGCCCTGTGGAGCCATGCGTCCGGATCGCTGCCTGTGAATGTGGACAGCGTGATGCGCGGCTTGTCGACCTTCGGACGTTCGTGGTATGTGGACGCTTGGGATTGTCGATCGAGGTCGTCCTCTTGCTCATGCCCCTCGCGCCGCCGATCCTCTTATTCGGGCCGCTCGCGTTCGTGCTGTCGCGCCTGATCGCGTTGCCGTGGCGGTGGCAGGCGAGCGAGAACCGTGCGCGCCATCTCATAAAATCGCCGGTTCATGGTCTCCATTACATCTTGCACCGTGGACTTGGTATTGCCGAGTCCTTCACTTAACGTTTCAATAGCTTCACTCATACTACGAAATTGGACATCGAGATTATCGATCTTGTCCTTCATCTCTTTGTTGGCCATAGCTTTCTTCTCTTGCTTGCGTTCCTTGCTTCGAGGACTCGTGTTTGAAGAAGATTTT